CTGGATTTAAGACATTCCTGCCATTATTAGCATCTTTCTACTCCTCCCATTGCACTAGGGTTTGTTTTGGTTTTTATTTCCTTTAGCATTTTATTGTTACTGCCATCAGCTTGGTACTACATCTAGCTCTCTAACTGCTGATTTTCTGCTGTGGCTATTCAATGGTACATTTTGTTACAGCTCGTATATTCATGTAGTTTGATTGTTTGTGTTCTCCCATTCACAGCAATTCTTCTCTGCGGGGATGACCTATTCAGTCATTGCTATGCGGTTCGTAGCCTGGTATTGCAATGTTCCACTGATTATCTTCCTTCCACCAAGTTTCCAAATTGTAAGTTTTAACAATACCTCTTGCTTAAATGGATTCTCACATATTGAGATTTTTTTGGTATTTCCTAACAAACTCTACCAGCCTATAGCTTCTCCTTTTTCTGCCCCCAAAGGATATAGCTGTTGGGGTTTTTTTAACTTTTTAAATTATTATTCCCCAGAAAATAAGCCAACTTAATCCGTGTGGGTTTTCACGCTTCTCAGCTTTCCTTTGCCTCTACTGAGTTTTTTCCCAACAGCGTTTATTTCCCATTTCCCTTTCCCTCACACAGACACAGAAACGATGATGAAACCAGGTGACAAAGAATCCCACGTTTTACTGCGAAAAGCTACAGGACCATGATACGAATATGAGAACAATTTCCAGTTTGCACTGGGAAAGACATTTTTCTTGTTTCATAGGTCAGACTGTTGGCATGGGAAGTAATCCTTGTGGAGAAGGCAGGCATTTTAGCAAATCTTGTATACACTTCTGGTTTCCTTTGGTTTTTTTCTTTACATCATATATGTTAAAGGTGGTATCTTCCAAAACTGAGAAACATGTGAACAATGTTCAGCAAATGCCATGCTGATTGCTGGGCATTCTATTTTTCTCTAAAGATTAAAAGCATTTCTTGCATACGTGGGATTTATACAACTGGTTTAGTTCCTTTTCTCCCTTGCTCTCTCTTACAGCTTTTTTTTTTTGCAAATGTGATAAACACAAATAGAAAGGTCCAGTTGTTTTGGAAGGAAGAGGGGAGGGAGGGATACAGATAAATGACAAATATATTTTTTGATTGATTTAGTCATGAAAAAAAATTGCTCCCCTTTTCTCCCCTCTCCCCTGGAAATTTTGTATTGCTCTTTATATTCTTTATCAGAAAAAAAAAAAAAAGACAATGCCCAGGTATTCATAGTTCAGATTCCAGTTTCTTCAGTTTCCTGAGTGTATTGAATCTCCACAGAGGCCACCCTCTTCCCATGAAGAAACAAGACAAAACAAACAAAAAACCTTTTATCCAAATAACTTTAGGAACAGCACATTTTGTAGCTCTGTAATGGGAATCTGGGCTGAAAAATGAGAAGACATTCCATTACATCGAAATCCAAGGCCAGCATCTGGGGTTCTCGGCGCCTATCTTGTCCTAAAAATAAAGTTATTTTTAAGCATTAGAGGAAGAAAGAAGAAACAAACAACGCCACCAGCAATCAGCCTCAGTCATCCTCATGCATCTGTACTCAGCTTATTGGCAGCAAGGTCTGCAGCTGAACGTCTCCACACTATGAAGATGCCAACTGACTTCAGACAGCAATCGCACAGGACAAAATATCCTTAGTCAGTCCCAACCCCGCAATCTTACATTCAACGTGTAAATGATGGACAAAACATGGGAAGCAGTGATATGGAGAGGTAATATAGCCACGTCAGCCATGAAGCTAGGGTAAAGACCCAGCTTTCCAGAAAAACAGTCCAATTCCTGAACCACCAGACAGTTTCTCTTACTTCTGTTATCCCTCTATTATCTGTAGTCAGTCTCCCATCAGCAGCATTTGAACACAGGGATTTCTCTTAGCTAATGTCTAGATTTCAGGAAGGATTCCGTTCCTGAACCATAAGCATCTGATACAATTTGAGAGACCCGAGGCATTCAGAACATTCCCATACAGATGGCAAATATGACATAGTATTCGTGGGAGATTTGTCCTTCTCAGCGTTGGCAGCTGGACTCACTGCACCTATGTCCCTTCTTTGGATGAGGTGAATCATTCTGCATGCTCCATCAAACTGGACCTCCTTTAGGTCTGGAAATAGAAATACCTAACACCTACTTCTAAGCATCTTAATCTGATGGGAGCTGAGGAAGACTATGTCAGCCTGTCAAATACTGATGGCATATTCTAGGATCTCACCTACAGTCACATGAGTTCAAGCCACAGGGGTCAATTCACCTCCCCACACCTAAAGCCACTTGAGATGCCCTAGAGAACCCACCTCAGCACCTAGAGCTACTTGAGATGTCCTAGAGTACCCTGCCTGGCTCCCATTCACCAGAAAGTCTGCCATGGGCTCTGTATCCCACCTGTGAGGCCATGGATATATGAAACACTTGGAGCCTCTCAAACAAGACCATGAACCTACATGTGGGACACTGAATTGAGCCTCTGTGTACGCACTACGGACTGTCCCTCCAGCTGTACTGCTCTACTACTTGAGCTTTTATGTTTGAAGTTAAATAGGGTGGGTTTATAACATGAATTTTGTGTCAGAGAAACAGGTATCTGGAAAACTCTGACAACATCCAACTTGTCCCAAAGATGTTCTTTCCCAGCATTTTGGGCTGTTTGATCAGCTCCCAGGAATGGATATGCACCCAAGAGATAGGCCATGAGATAAGGCTCACATTCAGTCACATGGCAGGGGGAGAGCTGTGCGCATTGCCTTCACAAGGGGTCCATGTAGTCCTCTGCACGTATCTCACAGCCCTGCTCCCCACTGCAGTGGTCGCTGGACCACAAGTAGGGTACAGTGCTTTCTAGCTCTGTGAGAAAGCGTATGGTCTCCTGCTGCCCATGTCTTTCCAGCTGAGTAACGTAAGGAGTAGCTGTGTAGGCAGCCTGGGAGTGCTTTCTACAGCAATGTCTACTGTGAAGGAAGACACAGGCTTTAATCCTACAGAACACTTGACCTGGGGGGGGTGCTGAAAAAAACACTAGAAGAGTCACTAACTGAAGACGTAATTGATTACTCTGTGTTATAAATAGTATGTAGCACCTGGGGACAAGCCAATGTGGAGGCTGTATATAAGAAAAGTCAATACAGAGCAGTCACAACAGCTATGCTCAGAAAATACAGAAAGAGAAAAGACACAGTTGAGTTCTTACAGTGGGATACAGCTCTAGCTTTCCTCCAGCATATGGGAATGGCCAAGAAACATGAGCCACTACTCCATTTTTGGACTCAGATCCAGATTCCCACCGAGTTCAAATCCAGTGTTTTGGGACTTGTTTGTTATACGTTCTATGGCAAAGGGCCATCACCAATTCAAGGGTAAAGACTGCATTTGTCTTTCCGTCAACATGCCAACAGCAACACAGCAGGGAGTGGAAGATGCCACCCCTGAATGACGCCCATCATGGCTCATTGGCAAATCAGTGGCACATTGGTTCTCTGTGAGTCGGGAGCTCTCCGCTCCCTTTCCAAGCCCATAATAAGCAAAGACACTCTTGCTGGCCCCTATGCTGCAGCTCTCAGCCCTGTGCCAGCTTTACAGCTTGCCGCTGCTCACTTGTCTTCTTCGGTGGCTGACGTTGCTTTAGGTGACTAGAAAGACTTTTGGCATCAGAATGGGAATTTCCCATGGCAGCGAGTTTAGGATGAGATTAAGAATTGAAAACATCTCTAAACAACAAATAAGGAACACACTAGCTGTGGGATGACCCACTATGGCTGTGGGCCAGTCCAGATCTTTGGAATTGAAAACTGGGAGCCAGTGTTGGAAAATGGAATGTATGTTCAGAGACGATAAATGCCTTTAAGAAAGAAAACTGGACCATAATAAGAAAAGAAACCCAGTCATCTTTTTTAGCCAATTTACATTTGGTTCAGTTATGCCTTGGAACAAAAGTCCCAAAAACCTGGATGTGAATCCTACTTAACTCCCTCCCTGGCGTGCCAGTGAACATAATCAAAAGTCACCACACAACAGACAGGTCTCAGTGGGCTGGGATAATGTCAGCTCCAAAAGCAAAACAAAGCCAGGCCTGGTCAGGACAGAGTGGAAAAATAAACCAAAGCAGAAATAAAAAAAAAAAAAACAAACAAAGAAAACCCCAAGCAACCAGAACAAATCTGAAAGAAGCCACTGCGTTTCCCAGTTTATCACATACTTTGCAGAATAGATGGAGCTAGTTAACTCTCAGGTCAGACCTTTCCCAAGAGCTGAATAGAGATAAATAATGGTGAATGCCAGTTGAAAACAGTGGGCACCTTTTCCAGGAATACAAAAATAAACAGTGACCAGGAAATACTGGAACTAAAGTCCAGCTCATTTACAACGGCGAGACAGAGATACCCTTAATGGTACTGTGGTTTGGAGAACGCTACTGAATAAAGCCAGAAGATGTGCTGGACGAAGCTCATGTCTTTTCCTGGAAAACAAACCCATCTACCAGGAGATGTTGGGAGCCAGATTTATGGAAGGCCAATAATTAGCCTCCAAGCGTAGGTTCGGTAGCACAGGCATGCCTTACTCCTTCTTATCTACTTCTCCTTGTATTTTTTGCTTACTCTTTCTCTAGTCAGATCAGTTCTATCTCCTTGCCTTTTTAGAAGAAGTCTAGGAGCAGACTTAAGTGGACATGAAAAATATGCATCCTTTGAAGTTTCCAGTCAAACCTAAATGAGCACTTGCTCTTTGGAAAACAAATCCTTTTAGGATATATTACGTTGGACTGCTAAAATAAAGGTGTCCAGGTTGACCAGATGATTGTAGAAAGCTCACTGATTTTCTGTGCACTTGATAGCATGAAGATAACTTTTTACTCATTCTTATCCTACTTCCTTGTACAGCATGCTGAAAGTATTCGCTCTCTTTGACTAGCCACTTACACGTTCTTCAAGCCTATCTCAGATGCCAAAACCAAAATAATAGGATATGCAATGAGGACAGAAGAGACTCACCTGGTGTTCAGTTAGCCATTATATGCTTCACGAAAGCTGGAAACAAGAGAAAGAGATGGGTCATTTATTAATTCCCTTTCATTGAATTCAGTAATATCCTGGGTATCTCAGGTTGGGTGTTATTTAAATTCACTCTTCTTGCTTCATCTCATGCCATGAAGACCACCCCACATTGCAAATAAGATTCCAGACACCAGGTGCTAAATGCTTTGTAAGTCCTTAAGATAACATGTAGAGAGTGCAGAGTAGCCAGCAGCCTAGGTAGCCAGTGGAAATGAACACACACATCAGTCCGTCCACAGCTTGCGTAATCTCTTACCCCGGCTGCCATATGGAACTGGCTTTCCAAAGTATACAACCATGAGAAATTCTGGGTCCTCATCTTGCAAGGCTTTCAAGACTTCAGCACATTTGTCCTACACCAGGGGGCACCGAAGGTGCCTCTGGAGTGAACCTCCAGAATCCACAGCAGGTCACCAAGTCAGGTATCGTGACTATATCTCTCCAGTGAACTCAGATTTACAAACAAACTAAGTATTTCAAAGTCAAGTTAAGCTTTTGTTTCAAAAAGTTTTGGGTTCCATTTTTCTCCATTTAAAAAAACATTCATTACATAAAATTTTGAAATTCAAAAGGAAAAGGAAAAATACATTTTGCAGTAAGGGTTTTTTTTTTCCTTTCCAACAATCCCCCCAAGCTATGAATTTCCCTGAATTCAGCATAAGTTCATGAGTCATTTGGGTAGGCTAAATCTACAGATTTCTAAAATAAAGCACTTGTAAGAAATGTTTCCTTGAGCTCAAATGACTGGTATAGCATTTTTAAGTAGGAGACCACCAACCCTAATATTCATAAAAGGCTCAGCGAATATGACAGACCAGCTAGATCACCAAGATGATATAATCATCAGGCACCAGTTAACCTTAAGGAGGGCCCAGCTGTGTACAATAACATGTGTTCATGATCCCTATTAGAATATTGCGGTTTTATTGAACAGCCTGAAGCATACAGGCTTGCAAGACGCAGGAGAGAACCATGGTCCACTCACTCATGACCAAATCCTTTTATTCTGGCTTCCTACAACAGCAATGAAATAAAATGAAAGGTCTTTGGAAGGTCTTGTAGGATTCTTAGGACACCAAAGAGGATGCTGAGGTTTTGAAGGAAAACATAGTGATTATCTGTAAAGAAGTCTCAAAAGGGTTGTGTGTCTGGTTTTCAGAGGACAAGGAACTGTGGGAGCAGGTAGAAAAAATAATGCAATTTTTTGTTTTTTAAAAAAGGCAAACAAAATAAGAAAAGTTTCACCTCCTGAAAGGGCTATGGCCATTCAGCTATGGAAAATACAAGTAAGCTTCAACAGATAGGGTGATTTATAGAATCTGAATTAGTCTAAAATTTGGAAAAGCACGCATCCTGATCTTTGGCAGTCAGATCTTCCACAGGTTTGAACTTTCTCAGGATAATTGCAACAAAGCCTTCAAGCACATGGCCACTGCTCAGACCAGAGTGGTCATACCTACCTTCATAGTTGATACAGCCATTGGCATCTTCCTGACCAGCCATTAGCTTATCAACTTCCTCTTCAGTCAACCTCTCACCTGGGTGGAAAGCAAAATGCCTGTTTAGTACCTGAACATTTTTTTAAGAATTTACAAAGCACAGTTCAAAGAATCCAAGAATAAAAAAAGTGAGAGAGAAGAGAGTGAGACAGATTTTCTCTTCAGTTGAACTTGTGGTGCTGACTGCTAGGATAGCTACTTTTGACCTTGCAAACTGAGAAAATTTGATCTGAAAACCAGGAAGACAGAATAAATATGGAAACCCACATGATATTATATTCACATATCCGTTCTTCTAAGAATAACCTTTCTCTAAGTGACAAATCTTTAAGGCTTTAGTCACTTTTTAACCAAGTCCTTGCTAAGTAAACTCCTAGTAGAGTCACCATCTAGTTTGCCTCTGAGTTTGTGGTTCGGGAAGATTCCAAGATCAAACTTAGGATCTCTGATTTGTATCAGTGATCCATTCCATTTAATTATCTAAATATTAAGTGCCTATTTGCCTGTAAGGTTTCATTCTGGTTAAGCAGAGATCAACCCAATCCATCTCCTCATTCTGATATTAGGCACTGATTTTAGGATGAGACCAAATGAGTTCCAGATATGCAAGGGAGAAATTTCAGGGGGATTTCATAGAATCATAGAATAGTTTAGGTTGGAAAAGACCTTTAAGATCATCACATCAAACCATTTCCCTGACACTGCCAAGTGCATCAGTAAACCATGTCCCTAAGCACCTCATCTACCTGGCTTTTAAATCCCCCCAGGGCTGGGGACTCGACCCCTTCCCTGGGCAGCCCCTTCCAGTGCCTGACAGCCCCAAGGGGAAGGAATTGTTCCCCATGGCCAACCTCACCCTGCCCTGCCACAACTTGAGGCCATTTCCTCTTGTCCTATCACTTGTTACTTGGGAGAAGAGACTGACACCTGCCCAAACTGACCCCAGCATTTGAGAGACAGCCTCACCAGTGCCCAGCACAGGGGCACGGTCCCTGCCCTGCTCCTGCTGGCCACAGCACTCCTGATACAAGCCAGGATGTTGTTGGACTTTTTGGCCACCTGAAATCATAGAAATTAAAATAAAATGCATTGGGTGTGCCCTGCTATTCATGTTGTTCCACTTTTCCATAACTGAGTTCTGGCACGCAGGAGCAAGTCCTTAGCTGTTGTCAACCTGTGAAAATTCAACCAATTTTTTTGAAAATTGAACAGAAAAGCATGCTAATTTACAGAACATTTGGCTGTGCCTAGGATTTTACCAGTATTTTGTGATGCCACTCTAAACAGAACTGTTAATTCTTAAGATTGAAATACTTCCTATTGGTAATTGAAAATCAGATGTTACCCATTGTTCTAGGTTACTGGAAGTAGAAGCCTAAGTACAAAAGTATTTCTTGTAGGACTGTGAAATTCACAGAACCGCACAGAGTGGCTTCTCTGTCCCAGCTAAGGTTAGATAGGGCAACAATCCTGACCCTGTGGGCTTTTCCTGTCACCACTGAATTTGGTCCCCAAACCAGTGCGATAGCATCAGTGATAGAAAGGAAAATAGCATTCTTCTCATTTTTTATTCCCTGTGTCATTAATAGACAAGGATGTGTCATTGAATGAAAACCCCTGGGCATAAAAGGTTTGGCTTTTTGAATTGATATCCCAGGTCAAAACCCATCTTTGAAATCATTTGGTCTAAATAGTGGACAAACACAAGTAGAAAAGGCTGATCTTGAGAAATGCTTAGTGGATTCAGATGACAACATGTCAGTGCCTTCTAATCCAATCAGAAACCTGTCATTAAGGTACAGCCAAATTTTCTGTCCCGCATTCATTCTGTTGTCATCACTCTCTGTGAAAAACTGAGCTTCTGAAGTCGAAATTTGAGAGAATGGAGAAATATTGATCCCTACTTTAAAAACAGGAGCTTTCCATTTCAGAGACACTTCTGTTAAACAGATGACTGATAAAAAAGTGCTTCATCTTAAAACTTTTCTTGAAGGTGCAGAGAAATGCAGACAAATATTGAAAGAATAGATGGGGTTTCCAAAGCCTGGATAAATTTATGGCAAAAGAAATATAATAGTTATCGGAAAAATAAAACACTAAAACAAAGAAGGAAAGGAGGAAGGAAGGAGAGACAGTAGATAAGTATTTAATCTGTAGGTCAGTGATTTTTAGCTTCATTATTAAGGAATCTTTTTTGGTCTTTATAACTGAGGACAATGTGATGGCAGAAGTCTTGCTCAGTCATTTTCTCCATAAAGTTTACCCAGAATGATACAAGCTGTATCACAAAGGCCTCAGTGTTAAAACTGCATGAGGAAAGGTTCACCTTACCCAGTGTAGCCAAAACGTGGCGGAGTTCAGCTCCCATCACCGTTCCGTTTCCCTCCTTGTCGAACACGCGCAGACCCTCCACGAAGTCCTCGTAGGTACCCGTGTCTTTCGTCTTGGCAATATGCTGGAGCATGGGCAGAAAGGTCTCAAAGTCGATCATCTTGGAGTTCATGTCTACAAAGACACAGATGGAAACGAAAGTTTTGGTGGATTCTGGGAGAGTTGAGGACTAATCAGGGTGCATCTACAATGGGTAGGTGGTGAGGGTAGAAGAACTGTGGCAATAAATGCCAGCTGAAGGGGAGAAAAGAGCATACATCATACATACAGATGGAAGAATGGATAGAGTGGGAAGGAGACAAATATGCATTTTTAATAGAGAGATTGGTTGATTGATAGATAGATAGATAGATAAATATGCCCTAGTATCTGACATATGCAAACATTGACCAGGATCAAAGAATCCAAATCAAGACCAGGTTGGATGGGACTCTGAGTAACCTGATCTAGTTAGCGGTGTCCCTGCTCACTGCAGGGGGGTTGGGCTAGATGATCTCTAGGGGTCCCTTCCAACCCAAAACATTCTATGATTCTATGATTGATGAAAGAAAATACTGTTAGACTCCCAAGATTGTTTCATGCAACATGAAAGTATGAAACTAAGCAGAAGACAGTAAGAGAAGCTCATTGACAATGTGAAATCAGCTTTGCTTTGCAGCTCTAATCCAGAAATGTTTAAAACCGTACTGGGAGAGAAGTTCAGAGCAAATAGGCTCTGTATCCTGTATTTTCCTGCTGCTTTGCCTTTCAAGAGCATCAGAGGGCATTTTGTTTTCATATGACTCCTTGTCGCACCTGCCGTTGCGTCATTGCCATATCCTGACATATCATAGTTGTTGAATGAGGCCCTAATTGTCAGTTCCACCTCAGTGGAAGGAAAGGAGAGAGAAATCATTTAGAAAATGTCTGAAGGTAGATATGGTCTGGGAGAGATTTCCCTTTGTTCTGAGATATCCAGCATATGGTGAATGTTGAAGGGAGATATTACTGCAGTCATTACAGACCCTCTAATATACACTTTTGTAGAACAAGTTATGTCCTCACATTCAGATTATCCCTTTCTTTCTTTGGATAACTTCAAAACGTCTGCATTTTTAGTAAACACGAGTGAATGCCTGTCATCAAAGCAATTTTAAAAGGCAAAAACTTGTCATTGTAAAACACATTGACGCGCAGGGCCATTAAATTAATTCATTCTCCTAAATTTGAGACAATTATATTGACTTCAAGACCTTTTTTTGCCTCGTTTACTTTTCTGCTAGTGATTTGCAGAAGCTGTTCCATATCCTTTGTTATTTCACAATTAATCTTTCCATCAGAAAATGGAGACCTCGACTGCTTCACAAATAATTCTTGGAGTGATATTTTTCAAACCAAACACAGAGGAGGATACCAACCTTCTGGTTTGGGTCTGCCAAGCACTTTCATGACCTCAGCCTGGGTTGGGTTCTGCCCCAAAGCTCTCAAGACATCTCCACATTGTGCATATGTGATTTTCATCTCAGATTTAGGAGTCCGGTCGAAGAGTGAGAAGGCTTCCTTAAATTCTAGAACACAAAAAGATAAAAAGAAATGCATGTCATGCTCCCTCGGATAAAGTCAAAGCAAGCCTAGACCTTCCCCCTAACTAACTCTGCCTGACCCTTTCATTCTACAGTTTGGGAAGAAGTTTGATGAGTTCTGTTGTTGCTGTTATCTGCAATGTTTGTGTTCCTCCTCCCCTGCATCTTCCGGTTCAATCAGGGAATGGAATCGGAGAGGTCAAATGCTCTTCTCATGGTATTTCCGTCTCAGCTAACGTCAGGAAGTGCAGAAAACCTTATAGAAATTGTTGGCCTTGGAGAGCTTTTCAGCTCATCAGGAGCACTCAGGACGGCACTCAGAATTCAATAACAGTTCTGCTCATTAGCTAACTGGCTATCATATCCAGCATTATACACTTAGAGAGCACTGGCACAGCCCACAGATACAGGAGCACCTCTATTAGCAGGTAACAAAATATGCCATGATAACCTACAGGAATAATCACACAACAAGCTGCCTATTGGTGGGGGAGGGTGAAGGTTTATGGAAAAACCTTATAATTGATGAATTGTATTTAACAATGTCAAGGAGCAGATCTAGAAGGATCCACTGAGTTTTCTTTTTTCTAGCATCCAATCCAATTGCAACAGGAGAAGTCAGCTTTGGCATGCCATCAGCTACCAGTGCCAGGCCAGATCTCATGTGTGGAGATGCAATTGTTCCCTCCAGTGCTTTCAATTCTGCCTGCTTTCCTCCGTGTGCCCATGCAGAGCTCTTCCCCTTGCAAGACAACCAGCTCCCTTCCACTACATCCTTGGAACAGATCCTCATGTCTTCTCTTTACTTCTAATCAAAGAGGGAGTCCCTTTGAGTGGCAATACCTTGACGTGAGCATTCCCATGGGAGAGGATCCCTGTTCTACCATTAATTACTGGGATCAGTGCAGGATCCCAGGGGACACTTCCCCAGACACACTAGTTACTCAGGTTTCCCTCTCCCTGTTGGAGTCGCAGACACCTTGCGCAGACAGGAGCATCTCAAGGCACAAGCGACAGTAATATGCTGTTATCCTTTCATGAACACACTGCATACTGCGCGGCCCACAAGTGACCACAAATATCTCTTTGGCTTTAAAGCTGTGAATCCCTGAATCTGTCCTTTGCCCTGCTGTTACTCTTCTGTATATGTTTCCCTCCTACTCTCCAAACATAGTAAGGCGATTTTTTTTTTCCCCTAGATACTGACTCATTCAACCATTCAGCCATGCACTCTGCATGCCAGATTTGTGTCCATCTTTCCCTTCTCAGTTCCTACTCCTCCTCATTATCCCCCCCTCCCTCTTTTTTCTTTCTTCTCCTTTGCTTATTTCCCTCTCTCCTTCCTTCTTCCAGTGTTGCCGTGTTTGCTTCTCCTCCTTTCTCCCGCCCGTTTCATTCTTACCATTCCACTCATATCTTGCTCATTTCCTTCCTCACTTGACACTTTCACACAATGATGATTTTCTCATTTTGGATTAATAAATGCTCCCTTTGTTTTCTTCTTTGCATTCTCCTCTTTGCTCTTCCTTCCTCTCCCTGCCTCTCTCTCCTGGATCTTTGCCTCCTCTGTCACCGGCCGGAGCCCAGGTCCCATTGGCAGCCCTCACTCCAGCAGAGGGCAATAGTGGATTTTCATGGGCTCCTTGCTGACCGTGGAAGGGGGCCAGAGACCCACTCCAGCTCTGTCCTTCCCTGGAGGTCTCAGCAGCTGAGGTGGACGAGGAATGCACCTATGTCCCTAAGCTACTCATCCGCCTGCCGCTTACCTACTCCCTGAGACCAATTGCCTGAGCACCCTTCACGCCACCTCCTGAAGGTTCACAATTCATCATAGCTACCAACAGCTCACATTTCTCTCTCTTTTTTTTTTTATTTAAATTTAAAATCAGTTACAACTGCCTCCCACGAGATCACTGGCCTGTGGGTTTGGAAACCCCATTTTGTCAATATACAGAAGCAGTCTATTTTTTTTTTTTTTTTTGCATTTGCATTTGCATTTGTTGGCTTAATGCAAGTTTCCATCAAAGCAATGAAACCAGCATGGCTATGGTCTCCTTTGTCCTCCTGCTAGCCATTAAACCTCTGGCAGGAGCAGTGTATATTTTCATATGCCTAATTGCTACCTATCTTCTCATCTTGAATAGCTCATATTCTTCTCTTTTCAGCAATTTAGGGCCTCTGAAGAGGCCAGAATCCAGTTTCATAAATACACATTGCCACAACCAATCCATTTCACTCACAGTTGAGGCAGGAGGACATGTAAAGATGGATGTGTTACACACGGCTTCACCCACAGACCACTCTTCTTCTTCTGAGAGTAACATTTTGGGGGCTAACATAATAACAACTCCTTGCAGTGAAGTAAGCTTGGTGCAACAAAGTCATTTCCTTAGCAAGAGGAAGGGGTTCAGAGTATCCTAGAAGATAGGGCTGGAAAAGACCTTGAGTTGCTGCATTGCCTGATTCTCCTCCACCACCTCAATTCAAAATCAGCTGCCAGAAAACCAATTGGGTTAATGGTGATGGACGGACAGCCAGTAATACCTAAGACAGACTTCCTATTGATCTAATTTCGGCTGACAAATAGGGAAGCATCTAATTTCACTGAGACACCTAGGTCCTCATCTGGTAAACAGAGAGAGAGAAAGAGAGGTGATTATTATTCATTAGAGGTGTATTCTGTAAAAACCACATATAAAGCTATGACCTCCTGATGACTTCCTGAAAGAGGAAATTTGACAAAATTAACAGTGCAGAGTGGAGTTGAAAATTAATCCAGAACAAAACAAGTGCAACTGAAACCCAGAAGAAAGGGAGAGCTGGAAACCTTGGAATCAGGAGAGAGTGAGGAGAGAATGGGAAGGAGAAAACAAATCAAAAAGATATATTAATCTGGAGCTCCTGTGAGTCCCAACTCTCAAGTCATGCCAACAGCCAGTATAACAGCTATAAATCATGGCAAGTGGTGCTTTTAACACAAAATAAAACAGTCTCAAGCACTGGAATACTGATCGTCCACTTTCTTAAACTGGTGGCACGCTTCTTGGCAAGGTTTTGACATGTGCAAACAAGTATAGAGGACAGCGCACGCCAGAAACTATCCAGGGACAACAGTGGACCATGCTGTAGCTATCAGTCTACATCTGAAGCATCTAAGCTCTACCTAGGAGTAAATATCTATCTAGGAACTATCAATCTGTCTGCCTACTTATCTATGAACCTAAGAACCTTCTAAAGGTCAGGTGAAGGAGAGAGGGGAAAAAAAAAAAAGAACCAGAAGAGAGCAGGAGGAAAGAAATTGAGGAGCTGATTGAGGAACAGTGATCAGTCCCCAGGTGATGTTCAGGCCATTAATCACTCCTTCCAGCAACTCATGGCAGAACTGATGAACCATCTGTGGGATTAACCTTGAGTGGGTTTAGTGTTTCTCCCCACTCTATTATGCTGTTGTAGCTGATGTGGAGATCTCATAGCCTGTCTCACACAGATGATGCTATCTGCTTCCTTCCCCATGGCTTCCCTTTGATATTTCAAGGACATCCTATTTCAGAAGTCCTGGATTCCCAGCTTCTCTCTGTGTATGCAGTGAGTACAGCTAGACCAGAAGGCAGCTGTAAGAAGAAAAGAAGAAAAGAAAGAAGATGCAAATTTCTGTTTCTAGAGATGGTCAACGTCTGCTCTAGGCCTGCTACCTTTTATGGCAGCCTTGGGGTTTCTCCAAATTTGTCATTTCCTTGCCGTTCCAATGGGCTGATGTGCAGACGAGCACCCCATTTTTTTCTGAATAAGTAATTTCTTTGCCCATTCTTTGATATAGTGTCTACAGATAGTTCTCCTTCAGGAGAGAGAAAACTAGGTGGGTCCTATCCAATCCCCAAAACTTTAGCTGATGAGAGATCCAGCTGTTGTGTGCTGCTGGAATAGTTCAAAGGTTTGTGGCTCAGAGTTGTGCCTCTTCTACGGTTCTCCCATGACTTTGGGACTAGAAAAGGGGCAGGTTTCCAGAAATGAACAGTTGCCTCCAATCATGAGTTACTTTTGACCTGTTATTAGAAAATAGAAACTAAAGCCATTAAGGGGAGCGTGAAAGTCCCAAGGTAATGTTGGAAGTCTGTGGCAAAGCCTCAGTCTCTAAGATATTATGGCATTTGGGTCCAATTCAGCAAATCCTTCTATTCTAATTAACCCATTTTCTGTTACCATCTTTCATAGGCTCCGCCAAGTTCTGCCAAGTGTTTAACAACCAAAGCAAAATTCTGCCAGATGTTTGACTCCATCTATCAATTATCCTATAAGTAAAAAGCAGGCTGGTAGCTGAGGAAAAAGGGGACAGAAGCAGTGGTAGTGTTCCCAGGACTTCGTGCATGAGGTTTCAGTATTAGTTTCTTGGGTTTCAGAAATGAATGCTGATGTTTTGCTTTGAAAGAAAAAAAAATGTCATTGCTGTCATTATTTGCTGGATTCTGGAGAGCTGTCACAAAACTGTAATGCATTAAATTCTGATTGAATACAAGGAAAAGTTCTCAAAAGCAGGGTTGGGAGACCTTCTCTTAAAAGGGTTGCTAGTTTGTTAGTGGGTTTTCTTAAAGAAAGAGCATATATTTGGATTGAGGTTTTGGGTGTGTGCTTTTTTCTTTTTTGGTTCTGCCTCAGTGGCAGTGGAGTTGGTGTTTTCTTTAATGAAATAAATAACTACTCTCCATGGTGCATGACTTTCCCCCTTTCTTCTTGACCAACTCAACAGAGAATTTGGAGGAGGGACAGAGCAGGAGTAAAGCTATGAATTAAAGAGCAGCTTTCTCAAGGTAGCTCCAATACCACATCCGTGTTCACCCCAGCACTTGCCAGAGCCTCCCAGTGACAGTATTTACCACGCACAGTAGAAAAACCACATCTTCCTCACCTTCAATCTGATCAGGGGTGAATTCAACCTGAAAGAGACAAAGAATAACAGCCAGATAAAAACCAGAAAACTGAAGCAAATAAGAGCAGAACTGGTTTAGTCTCTGTCTTACGGGTCTTTGTGAAGTCCATGAAACAGACTGACTCATAACTTGAAGAAAATAATTTTATAGAGCCTGTTGATTCTTGTTCTTTCCTCCTCCACCTTCCCTATTCACCAGCTCCCCCTTTAGGACCTCTACCCTCACCACAAGGCTGCAGATATCCTTTGTCCATTCTTCTGCTGCCCCTGTGGTCCTGCTGTAGTCTCTCCTTCCCCTCTCCCAAGTGACTCCCCCACGGCTGATGTCCTCTCCAGAGATGCGTATGGTAGCATCTAGTAAACCCCAGGCTACTTTGTTGAAAGGGTTTTATCTGTAGACAGATCATGGATTCATTTAGGTTGGAAAAGCCCTTTAAGATCATCAAGGCCAACCCTTAACCTAACACTGCATTCCACCACTAAAGCCTGTCCCTAAGCACATCATATTCCCAGCTTTTAAATACCTCCAGGGATGGGGACTCAACCACTTCCCTGGGCAGATGGGAATCTACTCTCTGTAGTTTTTTCCAGTGGAAGAACAAGGGGGTATCAAGTGAAGCTGGCATGAATCAGGCTCAGAGGAAAGTGAAGGAAGTGGTTCTTTGCTCTTCCAGCTGAATTGTGGAAATCTGGTCAAGGGATACTGTGGATGTCCACAGTCTACATGTGTGTATAAAGGGTCACAGGACCATTTCATGGAAAAGAAATCTGTTTCTGTAGAGTACAAAACGTGCAGAAATACATAGCTTAGAAAGACTCTGCTTGAGGTTTAGGAGAATGGGTTTGGAGAAGTTTTAGCCAGTTCTTGTACCTTTTCCTGAAGCATCCTCTAATAACCACTGCTGTACTGTACTGGACAACTCTCTGGACCTTGCTCTGACTCTGCCATCTGCCTCTTTTTCTTTCATCACTTCAGAATTCCTCCTGTTTCCTACATTTTAGGGTTGCCCTGCTCCCTATTTTTGCATGGCACTGCCCTCTAGCAGCTCCAGACTTCAAAAATGCTACAAGATGCCAACATGCTGCTGCTGAGCTCCAGTGCGAAAGAAGGAAACACAATGTCAGGATGTGAGGTCCAAGCTTCCGAATGAACAAGCACAGGTCAGAAATGTGAATTTACTCCAGAACTTACACCTACCTCTCACGGAATATCAACACGGTGGGTGTTTCTGCTGGTGCAGCCATTCCTGCAGTGCAGGAAGACTGGCAGATTGCCCTTATGGGGAAGACATAAATGAGAGAAACCATATTTTGGTATGCATAAACATGCAAATGCATAAATGCAAAGCATACACTTGGGCCAGACCTAACAGTACATGAATACACACCCTTGCAAGCATTCCTTTGTGGACATATATGACCCTTCCACACATTTTGGGAACAACTGCGCACATTTTGGATCAGATTTTCCTTATGAAGCTGACCACCTCACATGGTTTAGTATCATATTTTGTCCCTTGGTAGCAAAGCAGCCAAGTGGAACAAAGGCATAGTGAGAACCTCAAATGCAAACTCCCTGGTTCCTTCTTTCAAGGTGAAATGCAACGTGACACATCGTGACACAACCCTTCATCATCTACTTGGGATTTTCATAATATTAAAGGGTGGAGCTGTTGTAACTCCTGAGCTCTCTGGCCAAGATGGCTGTGATGTGGCAGAGCATGACAACACCAATCTCTTCATTCCACCAAGGCCACGGTGGACAGCTCCCAGATGCTTTTCTGTCTCCAGATACCCTGAGCAACCAAGGAGTAATATGAAGGACATAATGAAGGTCTACAAGGCAGATACAAACAGCCCAAAACTCTTATTTCCTACCAGTGTCCTGCCTATTTCTCCCTACTATAGTGTTTCTGAGCATCTTCTGGCTTAAGAGAAGGAAGAACCAGAAAACATCTGGTGGACTTGGAAGGTAGGACTCAACACTAACCCTGCAATTGTTGAAAACCCGGCTGCTATTTTTGTGTCTGCCCTGTTCCGTCCTTATCTGAACTAGCTCATTCAGGGGATTACCACTTTGTTTGCAATTCTCAGCCATGATTTACCTTGAATGAAATCCAATTAATAAAATAGTTGCCTAAGTGGCAGCCAGGAGGCTGTCTGGAAGGAAGCGTTTAAAGAATGCAAGAAAGGAGCCCTCAGAAGAATAGCAATGCTCTTCCCTTTCCTAACACATGGAGGGGTCCAAACACATCTTTGTCATGGAGATTATAATCATCTAGATTGGGTCCTATCCCAAATCCACATACCTTAGTTTAATTAGAAATAAATACCCATCAGGGAACACATTCATACAGGTGCATTGTCAGCAGCAAGCCTTATGCCCAGTGTGTCTAATTATATCAAGCTTTGAGAATCTGACTGAAGCTAATTGCATATTGAGTTTATTCAGGCATCAATAGCCAGTGTGGGTGAAATAAGGCCAGAGCTGCTGGCAACTCGTATTTAAGTCACTATGATGGATTGCTCTTGGGGAAGAATTCGTCTCAGCTGCACTTAGATGTAGACATCCAGATGTGTCAGTCACCCCACATTTGCCTTATACCAGACGAAGGGAACAGGCACTTCTAGGGTGTGATTTGACTTAGTTTAGGTCTATACCTGGGGAGAAGATCAGTTGTGCTCTCCTTTTCAATGAGTGGATCAATCAATTCTACAATGACGATAAGCAGAGTGGGGGTCCCTAGCACAGATGTAGATGTCCTTTTCTGATCTGATGAGTCCCACCCAGAAAGCGTGATCTAGCCCTTTGGCAGACTGCAGGTCAGGAGAAACTTTGCCAGAGTGAAAAAAAAAAAGGATGACTACAAATTCCCACAGCTGGATCAAAGGGAAGGTTTGAGCTTGAAGGGCTGAGTGTGCCTCACCTCTAATCATGGCCCCTATAAAAACACCAGCCAGAGCTGGAGGACCATGCATGACAGCTGGCAAGGCGGTGGCAGACGGTTTGACCAGACCTACCACCCAGGCACGGCTTCCTCTCAGGAAAGCTGCAGAGATGTGTGGGTGGTGGCTGCTGCTATTTTCTCC